GGTTGCTGTGAGCTACGCTGATGCCATGGTACTCTAGCCTGGGCAACAGAGTGAGACTTTGTCTCAGTAAAAAAAAAAAAAAAAAAAAAAATACATAGAACTGAATGAAAATGAAAATAAAAGATATCTGTAAGATTCAGCTCAAAAGCAGTGCTCAGAGGAAAATTTACAGCACTACATTCTTACATTAGAAATGAGGAATATTTTCAAATCAGCAATCTAAGTTCCTACCACAATAAACTAGAACAAAAAGAGCCAAGTAAACACAAAGGAAACTGAAGGAAGGAAATGATGTAAGAGTATAAATCAATGAAATTTAAAATAAGAAAATTTTAAAAAGCTATGAAACAAAAAGACTGGTTCTTTGAAAACATCAATAAAATCAATAAATCTGTAGTAAGACTGGCAAAATAAAAAGACACAAATCACCGATATTAGGAATGAAACAGGATATTATTACAGGTCCTGCAGCCATTTAAGGGATAATAAGGAAATGCTACAACCAATTTTATGTTGATAAACTCGGCAACTCAGATGAAATAGATCCATTCCGTGAAAACCACACATTATCAAAACTCAACCAAACTCAACCAAAATGAAATAGATAATCTAAATAGTCCTATAATCCTTGCAGAAACTGATTTTGTAATTAAAAGTCTCCCCAAAGTGAATCTCTAGGCTCAGATGATTTTACTGGAGAATTTTACCAAACATTTAATGAAGAATTAATACCAGTTTTATCTAACGTCTTCCCAAAAGTACGAGAGGGAAATACTTCTCAACTTGTTTTATGAGGCCAGTTTTAACCCGATAACAAAACCTGACAAAGACAGTACAGTGAAAGAGACCCAATATCTCTCATTAACTTAGATGTAGAAACCCCTCAGCAAGATACTAGCCAATAGGATTCAGCTAGGTATAAAAGCAATCATATACTGTTACTAGGTAGAATTGATTCCAGGTATACACAGCAGGTCCAGAGTTCAAAAATCAAAGTAATTTATCATATCAGCAAACTAATGAAAATCATTTATTTGTATCAATTGATGATGAAAAATCATTTGGCAGAGTCTAACACCTCATTATTAAGAACTCTCAGCAAGTTAGAAATAGAGAAATATTACCTCTGCTTGATAAAGAGTATCTGTAAAATTCCTACAGCTAGCATCATACTGAATGTGAAGGCCCAAATGCTTTTCCTATAAGACTGGGAACAAACCAAGTATATCTGCTCCACTCCTATCCAATGTAGCACTGAACGTTCTAGCCGCTTTGATAAGGTAAGAAAAAGAAAATGCATACAGATTGGAAAGGCAGAAATATTAATAAAACTGTCCTATTTTGCAGATGACATGATTATCTGCATAGAAAATCTCAAGGAAATGGCAAAAAAAAAAAAAAAATTCCTTGAACTAATAATTGAGTTCAGCAAAGTCATAGGATACAGTATCAGCATCCAAAAACCAGTTGCATTCTGTGTATTAACAATAACCGTATGAAAATCAAAACTAAAAAGACGTTCCATTTACAGTCACTCCAAAAAAATTATATACTTATAATAGATTTACATTTAATGAAACATATACAAGACTGGATATTGAAAATTACAAAATGCTGATAAAAAAAATCAATGAAAATCTAAATAAATGGAGAGACATACTATGTTCATGGAATAGAAGACTCAATATAATGTCAGTTCTCCCCAAATTAATCTGTAGGTTTAATGCAATTCTTGTAATAATACCAGTAAGGCTTTTGTAGAAATAGACAAATTTATTCTAAAACTTGAAAGACACAGGCCCTAGATGAGCTTAAATAAAGTTGACAAATGGGAAAGAAATGGGAAGAATCACTCATCTAACGTTGTAGCTTACTGTAGTGCCACAGTAATCAAGACAGTGTGGTACTGGCTAAGGGATAGACAGACACATAGATCAAAGCAAAGAGTAGAGATTCCAGAAATAGACTCACAAAATATGCTTAACTTTTTTACAAAGGTGCAAAAGCAATTCCGTGGTGGAAGGATAACCTTTTCAACAAATGATGCTGGAGCAATTAGTGTCCATTGGCCAAAACAAAAATACCCCAGAACGCACATATCAAACAAATAAAAATAAAACCCCTTGCAAAACAGTGTTGTCTTAAACCTCATGCCTTAAACATTTCAAAATACATCATAGACTTAAATAAACTTTTGGAAAACAACATTTTTAAAACAAAAACCATGCCATTCTCTTCTCACACATCTCTATGCTTGTATTTTGCAAAGTCAGTTACTGTATCTTGAAAAATCCTTTTAGCCCTTCAGTATTCAGTTTGGATGTCACACCTCTGGGAAGCCCTCACTGGTCCTGTGAGGCTGCCTGCAGTTCTTTCATTCCGCGGGCTCCAGTCCTCACGTGGCCTTTCCTCCATGCACCCACAGAGAGCTCTCTGGTCTCTCTTCCTCTTCTTATAAGGACAGCAGTGCTATCAGATTAGGGCCCCACACATAGGACCTCATTTCACCTTAATTACATCCTTAAAGGCTCTTTCTCCAAATACAGTTGCAGTGAGGGTTACGTACGACTTCAGCATGAATTGGGGTTGGTACAATTCAGTTCATAACAATGTGTATTAACTTCTCAATAAACAATGAAGCATATAGTTCTTCAACTCTGTTTCTCCACTGGCATGATATTTTTTAGAAATTACTCTGACTTTGGCATTTGGTGGACTTTTTAGTTTTCAGTGCTATTTGCAAGAGTTGAATGTTACGTTTGCTGCCTTGCATGTTTTATTAGGAATTTGGAAGAGAATTTGTAGGTATAGCTATGCTGAACAATATTTTTACTTCGCTCCTTTTTTTTCAAATTCAAGTACTAAGGTAGGCAGGGAAACTTTTTTATCAGAATAAACAATTAAAAGACTTCATGGTCAACTGACATTAATTAAGCTGATAGGATTTTATGTAATTTTCTTTCCTTGTGGACTGCATTATAATATTAGTATACTGATATCTCTATATCTTTCTATGTGTAAAGGCTACCCTTCTGTGTCTCCTCTTTTTTTCCTCCTTATTCATTGTTGCTGTTTTTAATTCCATATTATTTCAGTCACTTGGCCTCAAAATCTGAATTATCTTGGACAACTTCCTCTGTTTTGCCCCTCAGTGGAGAATGACACTGATTATGCCCTTGGTATCCCGCCTGTTTCCTCCACTAATCTTACAAGCCAGTCATCATTGCCTTTCTCCTGTAACCTCCTCACAGGCTTCGCTGCTTCCACTTTTACTGAAATCAAGCCCATGTTACACAGAGCTTTGTAACAAATCTTTCTAATGATATCTTGAAAAGCTTGATTTTATCTTGATTCGAACCCTAAGTTGATCTATTTCTTTAAATTACCTTCTTTACTATACTTACTGGTTTATGTGACTCACGGGATATATGATTTTATCCCTCACATTAAACAGTGTTCTTTTTGGGAATAATCTGTTCCTTATACACCGGCTGCTGGTCCCCTCAACTGTCTCAAATATGCTCAAATTCTACCCATTCCATTGACATAGAATATAGTCCAGGGTGCATTCCCTTGCCCACCTCACTATTCAAAGCAGAGATACTCCTGCATATGAGCGCTGCCTGCATTGTTTAGGAGCCTCTTTTGTCTATCCCCTGGCATTGTATGTTATGGCTAATATTATTTGAGGCAGTTGGATGGATTTGAAAATGAAAGCATCAGTGATTTTCCCTATAGAGCTTTCAGAGTTAATGAATCATAGGTTTATTTCGTTGGGTTTTAGAAAAAACCCAAAGTACTGTCAAAACACTATAATGCTGTAATGTTAATTTTCTGCACCATACAGATACCAGTAGGAATATTTATGGTTATGAAACACATGGTTTCTTCTTAAAAATGATGGGTTGGTACTTTGTTTCTGTGCTTTGACAATTTTATTCAAATTATGATTTGTTTACTTGTCACAGTCAATGCTTCGAGGGAGAGGAGGTTGCTATAAACATACATTCTATGGCATTGAAAGCCATCGCTGCATGGAAACCACTCCGAGCTTGGCATGTGCAAATAAATGTGTCTTCTGTTGGCGGTAAGTAAAAATGAATGATCATAGTGACCAAATATGTAATGCTCTGTAATAATCAATCTCTGCCCAACACACACTCAAACTTACCTAAAAGTTCTGCCTTTTCATTCCTAACATTATATATTTATGCATTTCGTTGTTTTTCTTAACCAATTTTGTCAGGACCTTGTCAATTTTTTTAGTCTTTCTGAAGAACTAGATTTTAGCTTGTGGATCCTCTTCATTATGTCTTTGTTTTGTAGTTCACGAATCTACTACTGTTGTATTTTCTATTCTTTTTCTATCTTAAGTTGGACTGTTAGCTCATTAATATTCAGTCTTCTATAAGTCTTTAATTATAAATTTCCCTCTGTATACTTCTTCAGCTTCTAATCATTCCATAGATTTTCCTTACTAGTATGTTTATCATTCA